ATTATTTTACTCATCTGTAGATCACTGAATTATATTGGAACAATATGATGGAGCTAATCAGCTGAGAACTTAACTGAAAGCTACCGGTAGAGCACAGATATGAAATATTTAACAAACTACCGATTTTGGTTCCGAAGGCGAACAGAATCCTCCCCGGTTTCCTAATCGGGCCGTGGGTTTTCTGAGTGAAACGGTCCAAAGCATATCTGCACCTCCGGTTCTGACATCCAGCTGCAGGGCACGGAGTTTGGTTGAACATCTCTGGTAATCCAGTATCCGTTCTTGTCGCCTTATCCCAGAGGAAAAAAAAAATCTGACCGACTAGCAGAGGCTTCAGAAGCTACATCTGACTGATGACACATTGTTCTCTGCTATAACGCTAACGCAGAAACACCAGAATCGGGGGATGTTTACTATTGCTATGTCAGCAGATCTCCATGTTTATGTTTATGTATTTTGTCCAAAGCGACTTACAAGTGATAATCGGCATGTTGCCCTTGAGGCTAACAACAACAATAACAACAACTTGACATCAATCATGGAGAGGAGGGAACAAAGGAGTGGATGGTAGAGAGGGGGGACGGATGCAGGGAAGGTGCTAGTTAAGAAGATGCTCTCTGAAGAAGTTCCATGTGAAACGTCACCAGCTGCCCAGGGCTTAGACTGGAAGTTAGTTTCTGTTTTTCCCGCGCCGGTAAAAAAACATCAGATTTTCTTTAAATTCCAGCCGTGAAAATCCAAAAACCTTTTTCATCTGAGGTTTTAATGCTTCTTTACACATGCCGTTCAAAGGAATTTTGCCTCTGGCCAATATCTTTAAGTCTAGTTTATACTTCTCCGACAGCTCGAGCATGGAGTCGCACACATGCATTGAGTCACATATCTGGATCAAGAAAGTGTCTCTATTATTGAATTTACATTGTTTTAATGTATTTCAGAGACTTTTTAACATGAACAAATTTGTCGCTCATTCTCCACCACCTCTTCCTTCGATCGGCACTTCTATTCTCACGTTTCCCGTCATTTCGGTCTACGAAAAAAAAAGCTTGCTTCATACCTTTGTACTCCTGCAGTCGCGGGTTCTTCAATCTGTTCCGTGTCTGCCGCTAAATATATTTTTTACTGTTTGAGGTGGCCCTGGCAATGCTGTTGATGAATTTAAAGGACCTGACATCCTGATCAGTCACAAGCTTGCAGTCTCCGTGACTTTCAACGGATAGTTAAAAAAGTTGGGCACGTCCCCGTCAGCGTCGCTGAACACGTCGGAAAGGCCTTGCACCGATGCAAAATGGTGTTGCATGTCTCGGCACTGACGCAGATGGGGAAGTATAAATCAGGCTTAAAAGGGAGCCTAAATCTACTTCCGGACC